TAGCCAGGAAAAGCCTTGAAAGCAAGAAAGGCAAGCTATTTTAATAACGGGGTTTAATAAATTCATTTTTTTTGGAACTCATTTTCAACCAATCATTCTCCAAATAAAATAATTTTGCACGTAGATCAAAAAATTTTCATTACTTTTAAACTGCACATTCTTCTAAAAAATCACTTTGCACAAAATCTATTATCAAAAAATGAAGCTCAAATAGGGACTTGATAAAAGAAGAAACTTTATCCAATACAAAGGGTGATGCAGGATGAAAAGGGGATTCCTGCAAAGTAATTAAACAGCAGAAAATTGCAGAACCAGAAGAAGAGCAGAGGAGGCAGAAAACAGCAAAGAAAAAGGGAAGAAGGAGAGAAACCGAGAGGAGGGAGAAGAGGAAAAGAAACCAGGGGAAGAGAGGGGAGGGAGAAAACGACTGCAAGCCAAACAATATTTCAAGTCTAATTTATCATCGTCTACTAAAATTACAATTGAAAATCATATAAATAGTAAAAGCATAACCCTATCAGTGATGGACTTGGGCCAAACCAATAATACAAGCCCAATAACTAGAAAAAGTAAAATAGTGCAATAATAATATAAGTGATGTCCGCATCAATTCTCCCGAGTGAACAAATAACAAAGAGCTACCGTCAATCTTCAATGTCTGAACTCATACCACGGTGAACGATCCTTTTGAAGAACCAAATATCTGAACTCCACGGTTGATAACAATGCAAATAGCAACTTGTCCTCAAGAATATGATCCGACTAAGGCGGACGATCCCTCATTTTAATCAAGTACCGACATTGGACTCCAAATAACAAGTACTCCTGCAACTCATCTCCAAAATCTTCACATGATTGCGCATAATGTGGAGCACAATAAGAACGTTGATCTACCCAACAATTAAAGAAGCACCGATTCTCTCCATCAACGGTTAACACAGCCTGTTCATCTAAAATTACATCAATTTTATCTTTGTGTGCTGTGACAGGTGGTATTCGAATAGACATAGCAAAAGATTCGGTGTGGGAGTTCTCAAGTAGAGATAGAAAAGGATCAACAAAAGTGTTAAAATAGCCATTGTAAGTATCGAAGTCCTTAACAAATAAAATAGGGTGATGGTCATAATGTGATAAAAGATCATTGAAATAGGCATGTTGACCAACATGCTTTGAAATTTTAAAAAGACCAGCATTACACGCTTGCAATATCACATAATCCCCAATATTAAATTCAAAGTGTTGTTTATGCCAATCAACTTGAGGTTTATATAATGCTTTACTTGTTTCAAATTGTTTATTGATCTCAATATGCAAGTTATGAAAATGTGATACAACTACCTCAACTGACATAGACACACAAGCATGTGGGTGCATGGGAATAAGGTTTAGAGGTTTCAAAAGTTCACAACCAAGAATAACTTCAAAGGGTTTTAGACCTAAAGACCAGTTCACGGGATCGTTATATACAATTTGAACAGTTTGAGGGATCAAGTCCCAATTCCCAAGATTTTTCTGAATTAGAGACTGTAATAAATTGTCGGGATTTTGGTTAGTACTTTTGTTTTGACCATCAATTTGAGGTTGGTCAGTGGTGGATAATTTTGCCTTAGTGTTAACCACAGGCGACTGGATTTTCCAAGGGTGACTGGTGACATCATCAAGCTCTTTAACTTGGGTAAGGGTATGACATATAACATGTGATCGAGAATTGTCGGAGATAAGGGGTATAGTATCCAAAGTCTCGGGAAGAGTCTGGATTCCACCTAAGGAAGTGTCCTCACTATCATCCAAGTCATCAAAATCTTCAAGTTTAGGTTCATAGACTAGATCTTCTAACGGCTTCTCTATTACATTCTTTCGTTCTTCCATGACTAAGGTTCAATTAGGACATTTAGAAGAAATGTGACCAAAGTCTTTACAGTTGATGCACAACAAGTAAGAAGAAGACCTTGGAGTTTTAGAAATTCTACCCGATTTTTCAAGATTGGAGAACCATTAGAAGGGGGAGGTCCTAGAAAGGACTTAACGGGAGGTGGTGGAGTTAATGAAGCCAAATGATGATTATAAAAAATTTTACCCTTATTTTTCAAAATTGAAGGAACATCAGACGAGGGAGGTCCTAGAAGGGACTTAATGAGAGGAAGTGGAGCCAATGACACCGAAGGATGATTGTCAATATGCTTTCTACATGGAGAAGAAGATCTTGGACTATCACGACCTTTACAATTATTTTTCCAAATAGGAGGAACATTAGACGGAGAACGTTTTATGATAGACTTATGATGAGACGATGCTAATGAGATGGGTGAACAACGATGACCACACTTTTCATATGGAGTACTAATAATCAACTCATAATCTCGAGCTAAAGAGTAAGCGTGATCAAAAGTAGTGACACCTCGAAGAAAAAGCTCGTGTTTAAGATCATCTCTCAGACCTTGGCTAAACCTACTCAAAGTTGTGCTCTCATCCTCAATTAAATGACATTTTGTTCGAAATTCCTCAAATTGCGCGATATACTCAATCACTAATTGATTTCCTTGTTTAAGGGCATTCCATTGAGTAAAAATTTTAAAATTATCTCGTTCTCGCTCACGAATCTGATTCCTATTCATATCCCTATCCTTACAATCAGGTTGAAAGTATATTTAATTACCTTGTCGACGATGTTGTATATTATGGGACACCTTAGAATTATCAACATCAATTGAATGAGGGATGTGTTTAAAATTTTTCAAACTAACAGATAGAGCCTTACTCTCTTCAAGAGTAGCGGTCATTTGAGTTTGAATAGCCGCTATTTGTCGGGTGAGTGCATCGAATTGTGAGGGGTCCATGTTTAAGGTACTGAAGCTAGAAGTGACAAGATGACCAATATGTAACTACATGCACTGTAATAGCAACTTAATGACATGCAATGGAGAGATCAACGAACAAAAAGTGCAAGTAATGGAAAATGAAAACAGCAAAGAAGAAGGGAAGAGGAAGAGAAACCGAGAGGAGGGAGAAGAGGAGAAGAAACCAGGGGAAGAGAGGGGAGGGAGAAAACGACTGCAAGCCAAACAATATTTCAATTCTAATTTATCATCGTCTACTGAAATTACAACTGAAAATCATATAAATAGTAAAAACATAACCCTATCAGTGATGGGTTTGAGCCAAACCAATAATACAAGCCCAATAACTAGAAAAAGTAAAATAGTTCAATAATAATATAAGTGATGTCCACATCAAAGAGTATATAATCAGTGATGAGTTTAAAGGGGTTTCTGGCTTTAATCCGTGATATCAGGTCCAGAGTACTACAGACAAGCTTGGATCTACAATTTATTTTAGTATGGTAAATAATGTGCAGACATATCAATATGTTATATAATTAAGGATCCATGAACCTTTCAAGAAAAATAAGATGGAGTAGAAGTTTATTCTGGAATAACAAAAATATTAACCCAGCGGCATTTCCATCTCCCAAAAGTTATATCAACACACTAAAAATAGGATGGAATTTTTTATCAGTCCGTATGGTTGAGGGTACAAAATCAATTTTTTGCACACTCAAGGGCATTGTAAATAAAATAAATTGTTCCACAACAGGGACGGACCCACCTTAAGTCTAGTGACTGAACTTTTCTCGAGCAAAAATGATTACTAAAAAGAGCTTTGCCAAACAAGAAGTCAGTGATATGAAGGTCCGAGTTTCGATAATCAGCAAAATATTTACCAGCAAGAAGGAAACCATACAAGAGATCAACTAAAATTCCCAGTATCTTGTCTTTCTGTAAATATATATGATTGATAGAAACACGTACAACATCGAGGATTGTTGGTTTTGGGTTAAAAGAGGAAATCATTGTATAAAAGGGAGAGGCAAACACCTTCTAGAAACCCCTAATCTCCGTCTACCCTCATTCTTTCCATCTGAGCCCTTAACCCTAATTTCATCTATCAAGCTTCGTATTTATTTTGTACCCAATTTCCTCTTTTACCCTCATTTCAACCTTTTTACCGTTTGTGACTTCATGTGGTTTGACAATTTGAGGGTCCTATTGTAATTCTGGTATAATCATTGGTATTTGGTATAGATCAGGAACCCTCAAGTCGCCAGCGCGATTCCGCTTTGTTTCCCGACTTACACTCCATGATAGATTATAGATTTAATTGATTTTAAAGTTTATAGATTAGTTGAGAAAAATTAAAATGCATATTGCATACTTTAATTTAAGGGCCCAAATTTAAAGTTTGTCTCGGGTCTCGAAAACTCAAAGTTCGACTTTGATTAAATTTCGCCCGCACTGGACAATTTCCTGATTCTGTCCCTCGTTCACAATGCCTCAGGAATCTGATTACATCAGAATCTTATGCAAGAAAAGATGATGTATTATAGGCTTATAGCAAAATCGCCAAAGTGTCTTTTAACAGCTAAGTCTGCAAAATTGAGTAGATGAAATCCAGATAGGAATACAAACAAATCATCATCACTTTAACTGATTCCCTAGAAAATTAGACTACAGTATAATTGCCAAAAAGACCAAAGAAATTTATTGCCATAAATTGCAGATCATGCTAGGAATAATTCTTCCCACTTTCCACCGGTTATAATACACTTCATCTTTTTAAAAGAAACGAACTAATTGCGCCTTTCATGGAAAGAACATGAGAAAATAACAAAACACTTATCAGTAAATTTGCATTAAAGTAGTTTCCCTTTCTTCTAGACATTTCACATGGTTTTCATTAGCACCCAACTGAAACATCACAATTTTCCAAATTTTTTTCTGAAAGCAGGTATTAATAGATACCAACCGGTTCAAGAATTCATACCTCGATCTCATTAAATTCAGCAATACTCAGACTTGGGATTTAATCCTGCGTCATTAAAAGATGTAGCTTTATCTTCGAAATGTCATCCCACATCATAAAAGGATTAAATAGATTAACTAAGCATTCAAATGAAAACTTTAAGATTACATTCAAATCATAGACTGACCTGCATTACCACTATCATGATAGAAAAACACAAGTGTCAAAAACTATATCAGGGTTTGGATCCATCTCCTAAAATGTCTTCCTCGGAGAATAATTGCAAGGAAAGAAGTTGTTGCACCTTCCAGGAGATAACTCGCAGGTCTTAATATAAAACCCTGTTAATTATTTAGTCTCACTACAATGATAGAAATTTTTAATGCACTAATTCACAAGTCAAGATATGGATGAAGATAGAGCATATTACCCCCAATACCTTCTGCATCTCTCGGAATTTCCTTATCGTTTCAATCTCATGAGTTAGAAATTAACAAACAGCTTCATATTTAGCAATGTGAACTGGAAAACAGTCCGCCATGGCTTTATCTCATAGTATCAAAGTTCACATGAACTTATTTCAATGAATATTATTCCTAAAGACTTATGTCTTCAAAATACTCGGTGAAGGAGTGGAATGAAGAAGATTTTACAGGCATTGCAGCTCAAAAGTTAAAGAGAGCATCATAAGAATAGATTCACATGCTCACATATTGCATGCATTATCATAAATTGCAAGCATTGTCAACCATGAGAATCTAAGGGAGTTGCCTATTCCTCTGCATTACATCTTCAATAGAGCCTTAGGCAGAAAAATTTGGAATCAAGCTTAGATATTTCGAATAATTTGAATCTTTGGACAAAATATCTAGAACTAAAGATACCGTGTCTTCATTTGGGGAGATATTTCTCTCTTTCATTTTAACTAGAAGTTCAACCACTTCTGATGCCTCACCAAGATTACAAAATCCTTGTATAAGCGTGTTAAAATTGACCACGGAGGGTGCACAACCTATCTTTTCCATCTTCATAAACAGATGGTTTGCCTCTTCCATATTTCCATATTTAGAAAAGCCATGGATCATGATGTTATATGTAAAATTTGTTGGTTTCAAGCCCTTTTGAGACAACTTCCCAAATAGCTCGTTGGCCAAATCAAGATTTCCTGCTTTACACAATCCATGAAGGACATAATTATAGGTGTCAATGTCAAGATTAAGGCCAGATATTTCCATAGTGTGAAACAGCTCCATTGCCTCTGTGAGGCAATTATTTTTGAAAAATCCATACAATAATATATTATAAGTACCAGAACCTGGAATTACTTCATGGACTTTCATCTTTGCAAAAAGTACCCGTGCATCCTTAACATGACCTATTTGAAATAGACCAATCAACAAGGTGTTGAATGTAATTACATCTGGCTTGTATTCTTTGCGCACCATTTCTTTGAAAAGCCTCATGGCCTCTTCCAATTTTTGACACTTGCAATACCCATTAATTAACACATTGTAGCTTACAACATCTCCCTTATGGCCTTTAGTCTCTATCAAAACAAATAACTCCCTTGCATCATCAATCCTACCCTCTAAGCAGAGCCCATTCATCAATATATTAAATGTAAAACAATCTGGCTTTTCACCCCTTTGAATCATCAAGTTAAACAACCCAATCGCTTCGTCAATTTTCCCCTCGTTACAAAGATATTGTATCAAGATATTAAATATTACTACGTTAGGACGAATGCCTTGATCCACCATTTCAGTGAAGAACAGCTTTGCCTCCTCCCACTCACCATCCTGACACAAACCATGGATTAAGCCACCATATGTAACCAAATTCGGCATAATTCCCCTGCCCTTCATCTCCAAAAATAATTGTTTACCCTTGTCCACCAACCCCTCTTTACAAAGCCCGTCAATAAGCATGTTATAACAAAACAAATTAGGCTTAAATCTTATATAAGACCTTCCTCCTTTCCCGTTCCCCACTTGTTTATGCAAGCTAAGCGCCGCCTCTGCATTTCCACTCCTACATAAGCCCTTAATCAGAGTCCCCCAAGTCCTGATACTCGGTTGAAAACCCATCCCAATTATTTTCTTGAACAACTCAATTGCATCATTAATCTTACCTTCCATGAACAACCCATTAATCAATGAAGTAAAAGTAATAATATCAGGACTATATCCCCTCTTCAAAATCCCACCCATAACAGCAAAACCAAGAGAAACCCTATTACAGTTACATAAAGAGTTAAGCAAAACATTCAGCGTAATATAATTAGGTAATATATCAGCTTCAACCATCCTACGGTGCATAAAAATCGCATCTTGATAATTCTTGGTTTTAGCAACAGCGCCTATCAATTTGTTAAACGATGAGTCGGGAGGCAAGGGTTTCATTTGGAGCATGTTATTAAAAGAGGTCAATGCTTCATTGGTGTCGATTTTTGTGCTTGATTTACAGTCTTTTTTGAATTTTTCAAGTGGGGTTGAAGTTTGAAGTTGAGTTGGGTGTTTGGATTTTGGTGGGAGTATCCATATTGATGGAAGCTTGCCTCTCTGAGCAGTTCCGGAAGCCATCTCTGATATGCCGTAACAAGAATGGATCCCTGAAATAGGAAAATCGAATTCCGCTGTACAACGTTTCTCATCACCTTCGCACAATGTTTCTTGGTTGTCTTCAATCATTAAATTCATCAGATCCACGGTTTAGCTTATTCTTAAACGACGGGTCATGTCACCTGTGCTTAAGTTAAGCATGGGTATTTAGGCGATGATTTTCGTATGTTATAAAAGCAAAAAAAAAAAAAGAAAAAAAAAAGTGAATAGAATTGTTTATTTTATTAAGAATCAAAATTCTCTATTTATAGGTTATATTTAGAGATACAACAGTAATAATTTTTAGAAGTGTAGGTGTATCATTGTCATTTATCAATAAACCCTAATGAACTTTCCTTTTTACAACACTCCCCTTTAATGACACATTATAAAATATCTATCTCTTTGAAAATATTAATTGGCAAAAGCCCAATAGGGCAAAATTGCGAACAAAAAGAGTAAAAATAATTTGGAATAATAAAATGTTGTCTCGTTAAAACCTTGTCAAGAAAATTCAGTGGGACAAAATTTCATCGAAGGAAAAAAAGTATAGCTACTCCTCGTATGTCACTATCTTCAATATTGCAACTTTGGTGAAATGCCTCATGTTGTCTTGTACAATTTTCAAATAACACCGTCTTCACAAGGGATACTTTATCATTCTTTGATAACTGTAGTAATATGATAATTCAAAAAATAACTCTTGTTGATCTCTTCAAGAGTCTCATACATATAATGTATTATTTTGAGGGTAAATGTCTTGCATGTTATAAACATTAATTATACGAAGAATATGCCTCATTAAAATCTCATGGAAAAAAATTCTAGTGAAGGAAAAAAGAGTGCACTATTCTTTTGAATACGTTATAAAAGTTGCCTCATTAAAAACCTTGCCAGAAAAATCTAATGAGATAAAACATTAGTCAAGGAAAAAAAGTACAACGCATATTTACTCTCCCTCATAATAATATCACTTGAATTATGCTTCAAGCATATTCAATCATTCCAGAATGGTATCAAAACAATAGAAGATAAATTATCTCTAATCAAATTTATTACAGGCACATCAAATTTCACGCATTATCATACTAGCAAGGTAAATACATATGATTACGTCCACCACATGATAACTAATCTATTTATACAAGTGTGCACGAAATTCATTATGTAAAAAGTCCTACATTTCACATTACGACTTTACTTTTTCTATTTTCATTTTGTGCAAGTATACACCTCTTGGTGTTTGAACTGTATATCGAGAAATTTCATGTTTCTCTAGTAAGTTCAATTTTACTAGGATCGCATCCATTTTATTTGGCCAATCATTATTTCGATCGATATATGATGCAACACATCATGTGTAAAACAGTTGTCGACAACATTTTCTTCTGTTGTTCGATTCTATTTCTTTCTCCAAGATGACATAATTTATTGAGATATCTCAATTTTCAATATATTAGGTACCTGAATCTCTTCTGAGATTTTATAATCTGTTATGTCTAAATACTCATAAGAGTGTATGCATTCTCAATAAGACCATTTTTGCTAATTGCTTCATTTGGAGATTTTTTGTATTAGAATCAAATATCATCACGTTTCAGGCGTACCATCAAATATGATATTAACTAATTGTCCTCTGTGACATTAATTCAAGTTGGAGTATTTGAAACTGATGTGTAAGATATTATTGATCAATTTGATCAATAAATGCATCTAAATAAATTATATTTCGAACTTTTCTTTTGAGTGATCTTTTGCAAGGATTTAAATAATAATGCATTTATACATTATTTTCAACTTTTTAATTCTTCCCCCTAATGCTGAGATAATTGTTAAATTAAATTGACAAATATTTTACTGCATTATAAATGGTTCATACTAAGCATTTATTCTCAGTATTCATTACTTTCAATTTTAGTGCATTGTGGTGGATCAATTTTATACATGCTGCACTATCAAAATAATTAGATAAAAATTTAGGCTCTGGCCATAAGCCAATTTTAGTAGGAAGAACTATGGTATTGACAAGATGCGTAATAAAATTCTCTAAACGAAAATGGGAAATATATTTTTCTCAATTAAATTAATTGAAAGCGTTTAAGAAATAAGCTTGTTAAACCATTTATCGATATCTCAAAAAGAACTCATTAAACTATTGAGATTTATACCCACTAGCATTAACAAGACACGATTTCGATTATTTAATCTAAAATTATGCTCATACTTTAAAATTTGAGCAATAATTTCGCAAACTTCAAGTTGTGAATACCATGCAATCATCTAGTATTTGTATCAAATTTATTATATTCAAATAATATTTAGATAATCAACTTGATAGGTGACGGGGCCCCATATATCACCCTAATTAATTTTAAGATATATAGGAAATTCAATTCCAATTTTAGCTAGTGGCATTTAATGATCAATTGTCGATAATGAGAACAATGATACATATAAATTTATTGGATTGAAAAGTCTTCTAGTTCTTCATTTTGATTTCGCATCATTGTCGATCCAGTGATGGTCCAACTGGTGGTGCCAATCAAATTGAACTTCTAGTTCAATATAAGATATAATCCAATTATTTAATTTCGAAAAATATGATTAAATATTATATAATCATATAATGATCAATGTCCACGTGACATAAGTCGTATTTTTTCCTCCAGGAATAAACACAAATTCAAAATGATATATTTTTGAAAAATGTGCTACTTCGAGAGCACATTTAACATTAATTATTGCTTCTTCAAAAGCAATACATAAATATTTTTCTGAAATATTGATATATAACTAGTTACGATTATTTACAAGTGATAGAATAATATTCTTCAAGAATATTGACACATTTAAATTAATCATAACATTGTTCTAAAATATTAATATTCATAAATTTGTGCTTCTTTAAGAACACAATACTGTATTCTTCAAGAATACTAGTATCTATTATTTTTACTTCTTTTGGAACAATATATCAATATTTTTCTTATAAATATTGAAATTATAACGACGTGCTCTCCAATACCATATCATTCTTTGAGAATATTAAAACACCAAATAGTATGCTCTCCAAGAGTGATAAATCAATATTCTTCTTGAATATTAATAAAATAAGGAAATTGTTTTCCTTTTAAAAATTAAAGCCAATATTGAATTATTTGTGTTTTTTCAAGAACACAACGAGATATAATTCTTCAAAATGTGTGTTACCTCAAGGGCATGTCGTGTTTTATTATTACTTCTTTAAAAGTAATTTATCAATATTCTTTTGAAATATTGAAAGTTATACAAGAATTTATTTTCCAAGAGTAAAAACACAATTTTCTAATTATGCTCTTCAGGAGCAAGTAAAATGTAACTAGAACATTAATAATAATGTGCTGATTCAAGAGCAAAATTTTATAGTAGACAAATATACGAGTATTAAAATCATGTATTATAAGGGTAGGAACTAGATAATTAATCAAACGATAGACAATAGTAACAGGCATTTAGCGATGAACCTAATTTAATATATGGTACTTATACAATCACAAACCGCAATAATTAAGGGCCCACTTTGTTTAATATAAACTTAAAATTTGTCACCAAAATTTAACTAAATACCGTGACATAATTATGGGTACATATGCGCGTAAAATTAATATTACCTGCTATCGAATATGAAGATGAATTGCAAACTTACGCAGACAGCATTGCCTCAGAACTTCCAAAAATGGTACAAGAAGGAATTAATGATAAATTTGGGTGGCTGGAACATTGGATATCAATCATTAACCACAAAGGAGAATTGCACACGTGGTGGTCACATATCTTGAGAATGGTCATGCACATAATTTAGGTGAATACGTCTATTAATAATATCATGTTCTTCTGGAGCAATTAATATTCTTTTGGAATATTTTTATAACGTGGGTTGTGTTTTTCGAAAATATCAACTTCATTTAAAATAAATATAATTTAAATTATACTTTTTCAGAAGCATTGAGTCAATACTCTTCTGGAATATTGAAATGTAATATCCTGCCCTTCTAGAGCAATTAATATTCTTTTAAAATATTAATAATATCGTGCTATTTCAGGAGCACCAACAAACTCTCGTTTAAAAATATTAACTCTATAGGAGTATGTTATCATTATAAGATATTTATTTGTATGAAGATCTGTTTTTAGGAGCAATAAACATAATATTCTTTTGGAATATAAAAAATTTTAATGTCAGACTTTTCAGGAGTAATAACATATTATTGTTTACAATAATAATTATGTAAGAATTTACTCTTCAAGAGTAAAAACATAATTTTATGTTAGATCTTATATCATTATACTTTTCAAAAACAATAAAATTTAACCAGAACATCAATATTTAAATATGTATGCAAAAGAATAGACACGTAAATAAATAGAAAAATTTATTTCGTGATTTAAATAGAATCGATCAATATTCTTCAGGAATATTGAAATTTAATATTTATTCTTTTAAAATATTAATAATATCATGTTTCCCCAAGAACACGAACACAATTTTTTTTTTAAGTTGTACTTTCATCAGGCACACAATAGGCATATAATCTTTAAGAGTATATATACAATATTATTTTGGAATACTGACATTAACGATTTGTTCTATCTTTCAAGCTAAATAATAAAAGTTGTGCTCAACATGAGTAACAATGAAATATTCTTCTAGGATATTAAAAAAATATTGTTCATGTAATGTTGTGCTATTTCAGGAGCAACAACAAGATAGTCATCTATGATATCGATCTAAGAAACTTCTCAAATCAGAAAATAAATTGAATTTTATACAATACACCCTTTGAGAGAGAGTAATATTATTATCATCATATGAAATTTAATAACCTTGAATTTTTTATTCTTTGGGAATAACAAAATATTCTTCATGACCAATATGTCAATATTGTGCTATTTTTGGAACAACAAGATGATAAATTCTTAATTTGAATTTCATAAAATAATATCTAAAAATATTTAATTACCATATAGACATGATATGAATTTACATACAAGAATTAATCACGAAAAATGTATAAGTAAAGAAAAGAATTCTTCCAAGCATGCACGTGAAAGGAATATTTAATTACCATACGTTTATATGATGTAAAAATTAATTACCAAATACATAATATATATATATAT